TCCCTCCCTTCCTTCCTTCCTAATCACATCAATTCTAAAAACATTTCTGGATCACACTATCTATCATAACTTTATTTTACATGATCCTCTAGTAGTTATTCTTCAGTCTGGTAATTTCACAAATACATGATAATTGTGCCTATGTCTGCCCCGCAAGCAAATCTAGTTAAATGACTCTGGCACTTAAAATCCTCTAATGGCTTCTTCCCCGTTACAGTAAGTTCCAGACTCTCTCTGTGGCCTACAGAGTCCATGATCTGGGCCCTGCTGACCATAGCCTTATCTGCTACCCTGTTTCACCTACAGCTCCGCTGGCCTTGCCTCTGTCTCTCCCAAATACCAAGTTTGTTCCTGCCTAAGGCTGGATGACTGGTTCTATTGTTGTCATTTAAGTCTCAGGTTAATTTTTTAGAGAAGCCTTCTTTAAATACTCTTTGATACTCTCCCTGTCTTCCTCCAGTTACTCTTTATCATATTGCCTTATCTTATTTTTAAAAAGCATAATATTTATCAGAATCTGATAATAGTACTTAGATGTTCAGTATCTATCTGTTTCTAGGAGCTCCATAAATGTAGGGACATTGTCTGCCTTGACTACTATATTCCTAGAATTTAGCACAATTCCTGGCATTCAGGAAGTGCTGGAAGCAAATTTGTTGAGTGAGCCAGTGAATGGATGTTTTCATAGAAAGGAACTCACTCATTGAACACCTGCATTGTGTCCTGCATATTTCACACACATCTTTTCATATTGTTCTTAAGCTCTTGAAGGTGGGTGGTTTGTGTTCTCCCTGCTTTGCAAATGAGGAAACCAAAACCCAGTTCATCTCTTTCTCAAGGTCACCCAGCTTGAAAATGTCAGAGCTAGATTCAAACCTGGTCTCTATCCCAAAGCTTCCTATTGCGTTATTAGAAAAAATACAAACCCGTGAGGCAGAACACAATAGAAGATATATTCCAATAGAACCTTGAACGCCTTGTAAACTGCTCAGGGATGCGTGACCTTTCATGTCTCTTGCGTAAAGAATTATTAGGGCGGTCACATGGTCACCTGAGCCAGCTTGAAGAAGATCAAATAAATAATTTTTATTCTTGGCACCAGCCCCTTACTTAGGTCAGGACTAGAACTTGCAGGGCCATCCAAGTGAAAGATACAAAATATTCACTTTTGTTAGTTTAATCAAACACTTGTCAGAGCAAACCATTCAGCTCTCAGACTGTGAAGGAATTTGAGCTGCATTTACAAATAAGGAACAAAAGATATCCTTGCTCTTTTCTGGAAAGTTTATTTTTTCTGGTGGGAATAATTAAATCCTGTGAGAAACAGTATTCAAGTTTTCAGGCAACCCCATGCCAGCTCTCAGAAGGATTTCAAAACTCCTGGCTTCTTTTCTTGTTTCCTGCTGTGATGAATTGATGGATGTGGATTTATGGGGCCTCTTTTCT